CCTCTTCATTCTGGTCCACCAGGTTACTATCCCAATCAATTTCATCATGCTCGTTATCCAAGACCACCATTTATGTTTCAAAGTGTCGGTGGACCTCATGGTGGTGCATTTCATCGACCACCGTAAGTTGTTTGTTTTTTTTTCGATTTTAAGAAAAGACAAAATCTATGTGGTAGAAAACAACTATTATTTATTTATATATATATATATATATATATATTTACTTTTATTCTATTACTCTGTTTCATGTTTTCTTTTTTCATTTTAGAAGTAATCGACCATTAAGGAGTTATGAAGATCTAGATGCACCGAATGAAATGTAACTTTAAGTTGTCAAATATTTTGAATGAATTAAAAGAATATGCTAATGATGTTGTTGATGTGTTTGTATTTTTTCTCACGTTTCTTCAATGTTATATGAACAAGGTCATGAATCTCCTGTTTTTTTTTCTTGCTGTACAACTGTCTTCATGTTCTTTTTTTTTTGTGTTTGTTTGTGTCTGGTAATCATATAGAATTTACAAGTCTATAAAATATATAAGTAAGCACAGAATTTCAAGAATATTCCAAGCCGATTTTGAATGTCAATATGGATTTGATATGAGAAACAATTTGAATATTAGTTTCTAGTAACAAAGTTTTCTTTTTTTTAACATCGAAATTCAAAAAGAAAATTTCAGAATACAATCTTTGAGTAGTACATCAATAAAAAAGCAGTCGAGTTGTGCTAAAACTATAATGCTTACTATTGATCAAGTCTATCTATTTCATAAATGCTCAGGAAAGTATATTAAAGAATTATTAATCACACTTATACTATTTAAATTCTAAATGGATAAAAAAATCATAGATCCACCATGAATGAAAATGAATTAATATATAAACTAGCAATATGGTAAATAAATGATTCGATTTCGAGAATTTAATAAGATTATTTGAACTTATAGTTAGAACTTTAAACATGGAAGAGCTGATTGATAAAACTCTTTTACAGTATTCAAATAATTTTTGAAGTCAATTGGATTGGTGTACAAATCTCAGGAATGTAATGATGGCAGGTTGTGGAAAGCTGCAGAGCCTCACATTGAGAAAGTTTTCATTTTTTTCTCGTTCAAAATCAATTTTTCCGTCAAAAAAAAACGTTCATGGAAGGAGAAAAATTTCTTCATCACCCGAGTCACTTTAAAAAGTTTGTATTGGCACTTCTCCATAGTTCTCAGAAAATTTCTCTAATACGACCATTTCCCTGCACATCTGTTTTTTTCCTTTGCCACATTCCTGCCAAATCTTGACAATTTAAATCAATGTTATCTTTTCATTTTTGTTTATTAAAATTATTTTAACGATGCTAAAATCGAATCGAAAGTATGAAAATGAAGTTGATTGTGTCAAAGGTCCAATTATTATTTAACAATACTTGATATAACGGTCAAGCTTTGACGAAACTTTTATGACTTCATTGCAAGCATATTACGATATCTGCGTTTATTTAGTTGCTTTTGGCTACGTTAGAAATCCTTTCTATGTGAAGTCCTATTGATAAATGATTTCTCGAACTTTACCTATTATATGTTCTTTTTTTTCGATATGACTTGTTATTGTAAAGAGATAAGGACGCAGCACTGTTACACGATGTTCACGCAAATCTCTCTCTTTTTTCCTCCTGTCAATCTAGTTATATTTCATGTATGTTAATTCTTTTTTCTCTTTTCTTTGTCTGTTTCTCTCACTAATATATTCCATTGTTTCGATTTTACCCAAAATCTTTATTATTTGACTGTTCTTCTTCTTATTCGCATTTCGTCAGTCACTATTCTATTTTGTAAACCACGTTTTTTTATTTTTCCTCGATGTTTTCTTTATTTAATCGAGTTGAATCTCATATGAAGCAGCCTACACTATGAACTAGCCAATACCACCAAATTGTAATGTTGTTAACGTATGATTCTGTTTTCTAATCAATCATTTTGTCTTGAGACTTATGGAAATACGAAAATATGTCTTTACGGTAGTAAGTCATATAGCAGAAAACCAGTATATACAGATGACACAGTCCACCAAAAACGAATGTTATCCTTTTCTTTCTTATATTTGTAGATATTGCTACTCAACATAGACTTTTGTTTCAGATTTCTATTACAGATACCATATCTCTCAAATCCACTGATCACTGGGTTTCAATAATAGAGGTAATTTTGTTTTAAGTTTCTTTCTTCCTCTAAAAATATTCAGTGCAATCAAGTCTGATTAAGGCAGATTAACTAGGATAATACTAGAAGATATTTTTATATAGTCAAAATATTGGTTTATTTATTAAAAGGATTCTGACTTTTACAGTCCTAAAAGATTTTCATTCTGTACTATTCAAAGTTATGGGATTTTTGTTTAGATAATTGTTAATGCTAAGTTGATGAAAATCTGATGATGACCATATTTCCACAAGGGAAAAGAGTGAACATTTATTAAAATATACGTATAAATCAATAATCTTACTATATACAATAAATGGATTAATCTATGAAATTTCATTATTTCAATCGCAAGGACTATATTATATAGGCCAATAGATGTTATTTCCAGCTTCTACTACTTACATCGTTATCACGATTTAATAAGCTACGACTACACGAAAAGAAATAAAATTTTTATCTTTTAAAACCATAATTTAAGTCTCAAGATTCAAAACGTATCCAACTTTTTCTAAAATGATTATGTTCACTGTTCAAACATAGTATAACCTATCTAATTTTGGTATGTTAATCACCTCAATCAGATGGACTAATCTCTAGTGTATGTGTAGTCGGATTTACAGACCATATATATTCAAAAGAGATATTCCCGTCATAATCCTTGCGATTTATCCATACAGTAAGGAAACCTTTACTTTAATTTGCCATTATTTTCAGAACATTCTCTCTACATTGTTATTCACTTTTGGTCAAGAGAAGAAATCTGTTTCATATTGATTTATTAAAATTTTTCAACTTGAGTTTGCAAATACAACCTGCAATAGTTAAAGAATAAAACGTAAGATAATTCTAAGTTAAATGTGATTTCGATTGTTACGTTCTATGCACTATTCGAAATGTTGCTTTTATTGTTAATCTATTCTTTTATCTATATTTACGCATGTAAATGTGTGTTAGTCAAAATGTGTTCTATTCATTTTCTACAATATTTACTTTCTTAAACCTTGCTTAAATCTTCTTTTTGAATACAATAGCAAGCCTTTTAAATTATTCTTGGAGTAGCGATGTTAGTGATATTGTAACTTCTGTTCTTGTATGTTTATTTTGCATGATTTTTTGCTTTCCAAGACTGTAGTTTTTATTTCGAGCAAGAGCCATGTAATGAATATCATAATTTTGAATACTGGCCGTATGAATTAGTGATTAAAAAAATATTTTATTTAACGATCTAAATAGGGCACAATGTGCATATACCATATTTTCTTAGTAGAGTTTGGAACACTTTTGGTAGCGAACCATTCCAATTTAGTGTACATGGTTGGTCATTAACTGCATTATTCAAATCAAGAAAACGACGTCATCAGACAGAACGGCTGTCTATGAAAAAATACAATCAAACTGAATGAACTAAAAGATCGTTTTATAGTCACTTGAAATGACATATTGCATGGTTAAAATTAACATCCTGTGCATTTTTTTATTAAAGTACGAATGATTATAGGGTTCACCACACAATACACACGCATATGTTATTACCTATTGTGTTTTTTATTTTTTGAACCGAATGGTAGGATTTCCTATTGTGTGTTTCGAATTGATTTTTTTCAAAAATGAATCTTTTGTAATGTTTTATGGGATTATTTCAGATAAATCTAGTATGAAAGAAATATATATAGGAGTATAATTTTTTTTTGCTGTTTTTGGAAAAATTAGAAATTCAAAGGAATTTTCGTGGAAATAGGAGAAGATGAATTACGAAAGTAGTTTGAATTAAAAAAGAGAAAAAAAAAGAATTGTTGGGACAAAATGATTTCAATGAATCAAATAAAAGAAATGGAATAGAAATGGAAGCACGTAAATTAAGGAAATGTAAAGAAATAGTTTATTTTGATAGAAAAAAAAAATTGTATAAAGATAGCAACGCGTTTCGAATGTTTTCTTCTTCAGGCTATTTGTGGTTCATTGTCGTATATACATTGGGGTGTATACATTGGAAAAAAAATTGATTCAAACATATGTAAAAAAAAATATATATATAATTGGTCAAATTGATCCACGTATGTGTGAAAATATATATACATGATTAAGTTGAATATTCAGCAGTATATATAAATATATATGCGCGCCATGGGATCATTTTTTATGTTGAATGAGTTGTTTGTATGATTTTTTCTGGTGATCTTGTAGGAATGCATGATGTTTTCTGATGATCTTGTAGGAAGTCCTGCTCAAGTACGTGATCACACATTAGTTGATAATATATTGGGAATGCGTTTATAACATTGAACAATACATGTTATGTTGTGCCAGAAATTAATGATGTACAAAAAAAGTTTTTTAATGACGTGCAAAAATAAATGATGTAATGTGTTTGTTATATCATGATGTGTGTTTTTCATTGATAGATTCGAGAGAAGTGGATAAAAAATAATAAATGATGTAATGTATTTTGCTATATTGATAGATTCGAGAGAGAAGTGGATAACAATGATGATAGGGAAAAATAGGTATATTAAGGAATGTAGCATAAACGATTGATAATAATGTGTATATTACTATGTATATTAAGGAATGTCATAGTTAATCATTAGAGTTTATGATGTATTAGTTGATTTGGATGTTGAAGTTTATGTGGATAGAATTTGATTAATTGTCGACTTGGTAAACATGGATGATGGAAATATTTCTCATTCGTTATATGTTTTGCTATATTTTTTGTATAGTTTACTATAAAGGGTTGTGTAGAATTAAGCTGTACTTGCCCGGTAGTTGTTTTAGCTTGCTGTTGTTGTTGTGATGATGATGAATTGGTTAAATTATTGTTGTTGTTATTATTGTTCTTCTATTATGTTGTTGTTGTTGTTGTAGTTGTTGTACAGTTGTTTTGGATACATGCATTGCTTGCTGAGCAAACCATTGCTGTTGTACATTTTCAAATTTTTGTCGACCAGATGATAATGTGGGGTGCAGACCATCTTGTACTCTTATGTCTTCTGTTTGTAATTTTGCATCAATCACATCAATATTTATTTCTTTTGATAATACATATAATCGATCATTAAATTCATGATGAAGATTTGCAAATTCATGTCCTGAAAAAAATCGTGAGGGCTTCCAGCGTGGCGATAATTTCATTCATCCAATTATTTGGATGCCAGGAAAATTTCGACGGATATACTCAATAAGCCATTGACAACGTTTTAATGTAAGATCAACACCAAGTTGTGCTATATCGTTTGTTCCTAAAGAGAAAAGAACCACAGAAGTATCATTTAATTTACTTTTTCCTTCAACTGATGCCATCAATTCTGCCATTCGTTCACAATTGCATTCTGACTTAGCTATCAATTCGACATTAATTATATTAGATATATTAACTTTGAACATTCGACATTTTGATGCCATTGAATCAGATAAGATGATTCCATGTATGAATTTTTTCGATGTTGACGTTAATGTTGTTGTTGTTGTTGGGTGGGTGTGGGTGTGGATGTGTGGGATGGATGTGGGTATGAGTGTGGCTGTGGCTGTTCTTCTTCTTTGAATCCACACCCACACCCATCCACATCCACTCCCACATCCATCCACACCCACACCCTCACTCACACCCACACCCACACCCTAATCGCTTGATGTTTTCTATAACAGACAATATAATATGATTTTGCGACAAAATCAAATCCTTCATGATCTCATGATGGTTAAGATCAGCTCCGACCAAAACGTGTCGTAGTTTGGCTTTGAAACTGTCACTTATTGAGCGAAGTACTCACTGTCACCGTTACATGTTTTTTCATATGAAAATTTTTAGAACAAAGATTTCTGCAAAAAAAAAGAGGAAGTAAACTGAGTTCTAATGCTGCAAAACATCAGAAGTCAAGCAGTCAATTTGTTTCTCCTTGCTATAAACTGATCTATTGGATTACGATATGCATAAGAGCAGTGAAATGTTACGAATATTTTATTAAGGGTCTACTTTTCTTGTAAATTTCATCCTACATAAAAATTTAACGAAGTTACAATGTCTACATGATTGCTTAATTTAAGAGAATACGGTGATATCATCAATATATACGATATCAATTTTATTATATTTTTCCCTTTGAAAATCCCTTCAATTAAACTATCGAATGACTCTACTGGGTTAAAATTAAAAAGTCTTACAGAATCTGTATACCTCAATTCAATAGACAGGGTGTTTCAAACATATTCTCTCATATTGATGCCTATTTCCAAATATTTTCATCTACTTGTTATAGGGCACATGCTTCTTTTTAGCTTCGAATCAAACACAAGCAAATAAGAATTGTATGTACAGCATAGCACATGACACAAGGCAAAAAATAAAACGGCGAAAAGAAAGCAACCACTATCAGATTATTAGCAAATATATGACCATTGTAAATTTTCCCTAGTGGTCGTGAATGATTTTTGCACTTGCCATCTTTTTGTTCTGTTTTAAATTGTTGTAAATATATATATTTATAGGTGAACCTTTTGAGGACGGGATTATTTTTTGTTTTGAAAATAAAATAACAAACGAGGAAATCTCTGGGAATAATTGATTATTTGTGTTCAATCAAATTTATACGTAGGTACACACTGAAGACTTCAATAACATCACTTCTAAAATTAAAAGATGTGATCATAAAATTTCGTAAAAAAATTGTTTTGAAAAGTTGTACTGTATGTGGAGTCATCGTTTGTAAGGTGTAATTCAGCAAAAATCCATGAAGGATATACTTTTATTCATAGAAATATACAGTTTTGTGGCGAATGACGATGTGAATATTTTGATAGTATTTACACCACATACATATCATTCGTCTGTTGTAAGTTTCATATATATTTACTTTGGACATTGCCATGTATATCGCTACATAACTTATTATTTGCTGCATATGATCTTTATTCATCAATATCAGTAAATAATTATTTTCATTGATTTAGTCATTACATCGGGAGATTTGATATTCTAATTTCAGGATAGGAGCAAATAAAAAAACCTGAAGCTTTAAACAAAAAACTATTTTCGTTAAGATTTGTCTCTGTGAATAGTTTCAAGTCGAAATTCAAGAATCACTTTTCTTAATATTTCTGTGCCAAATAATGTTAAGTTTATCATTGTTTTTAATTTAAAGGTTTATTCTTGTTAGTTTATAAAAAAAACTATTTTTCTAAAATCATGCTCTTTGTATATCCAGTATTTTTGACTATTTTCGTTCGAATGAGAGGTCGCTATATTACTAAGTCGAAAAGAAATCATTCAATTGGATTGGTGATTAACATAATTCCACCCCGAACATTTGTTCATCTCACTAATTCATTTATTTATCTCATAAAAATCTCATCATAATTCTATTCTGACTATGACTGCAATCATCACTCCAATGGACATCAATGATGACGAAGATACATTATCTGACACTGATACTTGGATCTATAACGATCAAGATATTGATTTATCAGGTTAATTATAGAAAAATTCTTTTCATTGATCTAATTACTAATTGATTGTAGATTATGAGATAAACGATAATAATTGGCGATATATCTTTCAAGAAACATTAAATGATGTACATGATAATAAATTAGATGATGGTGCTCGAACACTTCTATTCGATAGTCCATGTAAAATTCGTATAAAAAAACTTGGAGATACACCTTATACATTTCCATTATCGAATACACTTTGTTCTCGAATTATTTGTGAACATGGTATACCATTATCTCTATCAAATAAATATGATTTTTGTGGTACAAAAGTAAAGACAACATAGTTAACTGACAGTTGTTTGTTTTTTGTTTTATTATTAAATTTCTATTATTTGATAGATTGTTAATACAGCATGGCAAATTGATCATAATTCTATTGATTTTCCTCTTCCATTTTCAGCTGCTGTTCGAGCAAGTACATTTGAACAACTTCATTTAAATACATCAGATCTAAATGCACATTTTGATTTAAATCTACATAAACTTATCATATTTGGTTCATGTCCACATACAAAAATTTATAATTTTGATGATAAACTTTTCATTTATCATGCTACTATACTTGTTTTTTTACCTTCACATTATACAGGCGGTAATTATCGATTTATAGATGATAATATTGATGAAGATGATACTCATAGATATATTTTTAATCAACATGAATCAAATAATTCAAAACCTTTTATTCTTGTTGTACCATCGGATTGTCAACATGAAATTGAATCAATTGAAAAAGGATTTAAACTTCTACTTGTTTATCATCTTATTTCAAAAACAAAGTAAAATAATTATTCTTTCTCTTAGTTTTTATATTTTATATTCTTCTAGTTCAATTCATCAATTCTATTCTCTTCTATCAAATTCAAATTATGAATTAATGAATATTGAAAATATTTTTCTAATTCAACGTATCAAACGTATATTTACTTATTGGGAAAAAAATCTTGATAAAATGCCAAATAAACTTATTATTCCTTTTCAACATTCATTAGATTATTCACCATATTTTTCAATTCTATTTCGTGATAAATATCGAATAACATTTGAACTAATTATAAAAGCTATGAAATATTTATCTTCATTTTTGATTTATTCAGCTATTTTTCAATATGATAAATCATTGGTTAATAGATCTAATTCAAGATTTTTTATTCATGATCTTAAATTATTAAATCCTACTAATGAAATAACACTTGATTTAAATTCACAACATGAACGTACAGTTATACCTAATGAATTTCTTGGTGAACTTCATATTTATGTCGATGCATTTGAACAAGGTGTTAGTCAACAACAACTTCTCAATAATGGTAATCTTAATTTCAAAATAATTGAAAGAATATTTCATAAATAATCTTTTTAGATAATATAATATTTCGTAATAATAATACAAAATATTATGTTCTTGTTCTAATTCCTTATCAATATCAATGGGATTTATTACTTGATGATCATTCATTTGCATATCATCATTTATCTTATATGTTTTCTTTACCAACAAATTCATTAAATAATTTATGTTTAGATTTATTTGATTGTATTCTTCGTGATAAAATTCATTCGATATATTCATTTGATAAACTTATTTATTATCTTATACTTCTTCGTAATCGTTTTGGTTTAACATCAAAAATAATTCAATTAATTAAAATTCTTTTTCAAAATAAACAATTTAAAGATGAATTATTTTCTAATAATAATAATCTTAATTATTGGGTAAATCGTTTAGTTGAATCATTTTCTAATTGGTCAATGTTTTCAATAGAATTTTTAAATTTATTTCGTAAAATAATTAGTTTATCAATGTCAACAAAACTCAATGAAATTATACAATTTTTATTACAATTTTCAAATAAAATCTTACAAACTTTATTTATTAATATTTTACTTCGATATATATTTAAACCACGAGCATATTCAAGACATATTTCATTATCAACATTATGTTCAATTTTTCATTTATTAATTATTGATGGTTCATATTCAAATGATTCTTTATTTATTCTTGCTTATAATATTATAAAACGTATAAGAAAAATTTCATCTGAAAATGAAATTATTGAAAAATATTTTAAAATTCATTTAATACCAATGCTTATTAATATATATCGTGATAAACAACATAATTCAAATAATTCATTATCACCTGCATTTATTCTTATTTATGAATATTGTTTAAATACTTTAAATTATTATTGTTCATCAACATTATCATCTTCATCTTCATTAAATATTATTTCAATTAATGAAGCATTATTAATATGTCCATGTACATCATGTGCTCGTTTACAAATGTTTTTAATTGATTCGAAAAGTTCAACATTAATATTTGATTTATCATCAACATTAATACCTGATCATTGTCTTCGTTATACACTTAGTAAATTTCCAATGTTATCAATTGAATATAAACATGATCCATGTACAGGTCGTGAACAAACTTTAATTATATCGAAATGTGCATATGAACAAGAACAGAAACAATTATGTTTTCATCTTCGACGTTTATTAATGAACTTACATAGAATATAATAGAAGTGATTGTTTTGTTTTGTTTTTATGTGAAACTTTTATTTTATTTTATTTTATTTTTGTTGAAAATGAACAAGATTTAGTAAAAAAACAATGAGTAAACATAAAGTTGCTATTTGTGAGAAAAGAAATCAACTTACGATCGATTTTCATCTCGAAAATTGGTTTTTTCATTTTGAACGTAGAAGTTTTATGGCAATTTTCCACAAGTATTCAAACGAAGACAAGAAGTCTTTTTTATCATTGTTTTCACACATTGCGTACTCGCTCGAAGGAGCTGACCATTTGACACAAAAATCAATTTTGAGAAAAACGTAAAAACTTCTATATTGTATCTACCTATCATTGGGTTTCAACAAGAAACATAACTATATTAT